GAATTGAATTTTTACAGTTGTTGTATATATGTTTCTTTATGAAGATGATTCTTGCAAAACCTTGAGTTTTTCATATAGGCTTGCTTCCTCTTTCTTTGTCTTCCTTCCTTGTATAGAGAAATGTTTGTTGGTGCATTAAATGCATTTCACCAAATTGTCACTTCTTATTTGATCAAGGAAGCTTTTTTTATCACCTTTAAGGTACAAAATGAGGGAAATTGTTGCACGTGTTAATAAAAAATGACTTTATCTGAGGCTTAACACATTTTGAGATAGTTTCTTATCTTTTCTTTGACAAAAAGCATATCTCCATTCCTTTTTGAAGTTTAAGTACCAAAGAAGATTTTGTTTCTTTGTTTTGTTAATGAATAATATCGATAAATATGATTTGGTTATCATACTTCATAAATGATATACATTCAATGCATTCGTCATAAACAAATAAAGTGATTTGTCTGAGAGACTACATGTTATCACAACCAATCATCTATTTAAATTCATCTTACAATGTGATCTAAAAAAAACATTTCTTTAACAAAAACATCTAAGTTTGTTAGCATCAAAACACATTTTGCAAGATCCAAGATTGTCTTTTAATCTAATAAGTTCTTATTCTAAGAACTCATATAAGAACCTCTCATTAGAGATGGCCTTACTCTTAAATCAAATATACGAGTAGCCTTCTAAAGGAATATCAATGAGATTACGATCAACTACTACATCCTCAAAACCATGAATCAACCAGTGAGGGTGATCCAATGTGCCAAGCTTGTCATACAATGATTTGAACTATCTTATAAAACTCTTTACTTCCCTTTTTATATGGAAATTCATAAGAATTGGAAAATCTCCAAGCATCCCAACCATCATCATTAACCTCCACATCAATATAGTTCTTCGAGAATTTTTTTTTTTGTAATGAAACTCCTTCCCTAACAACATAACTAAACTCCTACTTCAAACCTCCCTATCAACAAAAGGGAATACTTAAAGCAAACATTTCTACACCTCATTGACCTATTTTTATGCACCAAAGTTTCAAAAAAGAACACAATATTTGCTTTATTAGAACGGATTAGGTCCCCCAACATAGGAATTGCATGCAAGTTACCTAAGCCTAAACAATTCCAACTAGATCATTGGTCCAACACTGAGTTAATTGCATATCCAATCCAAAATTTAACTCAAATTGCTAAGAGGTCTATCTCATGGTTGGATTGACCGATCTGAGCAGAGTTTAATAACATTGGTCCCAACTAATGATATTCATTGCTTCTAGAAGGCTTGGGAACCTAAAACTTAACAATAAGAATGAGTTTGTTTGGAATTTACTCCTCTTAAGGCAACCCTACCTCCTTTGATGCCTTTATGGCCTTTTTTTTTTCTTCTTTACATGATCATCCATGTTGCATGGATGACTTTTCGTAATGATTGCCAAATCATTTACTACATTTTCCATTAGATGTTGTACCCCAATAATTGGCATATTAATTGTTAGAGAATTAACAATTTCATAAATAACCATTATTTTTTCGTATTATATTGGTTGCCATTTGTCTTAAAAGGCATTTTGAAGCCATTAATTACGACTTGTTGATTGTCGCCTTTAACACCCAAATGATTGGCATTTATTGTCTCCATAATTGCACCATCATTGGTTTGACTTGTTTTTAACTGGATTAATCATATTGCCTTCCCTTCCCTGATCTTGCATCTAAAATGCATTTAAAGACAAGCTTACCTTACCATAATAGTAACAATGGACAAAATCCAAATATTGAACCCAAAAGGATTAGGTTTAAGCAATTATCGACATAATTGTGATTTTAAGCGGTTTGAAAGGAAAAAATTTTGATTTGAGAGAAGATAGAAAATAACAATTAAAGTAGAAAATATTGAGATTCAAAGATTAAAAATTCTTGGGTTGTGACTTATTGTCCTCGATTCTCCCAAGATAAATTTTATAAATTATTAAACATTGTCACCAATTTACTTATGAAATTGTTGACAACTCTTTTGTTCTAGGAAGCCAACAATCTTTATTTTAAAAGAATATCAAATTAATCATAAGAAGTTTATTCGTAAAATAAAACATATAAGCATAAAAGTGAATTAATAAATTAATTTATTTAGGAATTAAGAAAAAAATTTGATCATAAAATTTTTAAAAATTTAATTATTTTAGAGTTCTATTACTCAAAAGACTTTGATTATGCACTTTCAATTAATTAGAATAAGAATTGAAAATACTAAAATAATATGATAATTAGCTAAAAATAATTTATTCAATTCATCATTAGGAGTTCACGAAGAACAATTACATCATAACTCTAGAATAGGAGAAAGTGAGAGAATATAAAACTAAAACTAAAACTAAAAATTGAATGATTTTACAACATGATCTAGGCATCCCTACTTATAGTAAAAAAAAAAATTAAGGCAGACTTTCAAGCACGATCGTGCATCTCATCAAGCATGATCGTGCATAATTTAAACATGCTTGTTAAAATAGGAAGCACAACCGTGCTTATGGCCAAGCACAAATGTGCTTCATGGCATGAACATGCTTATCGTTCAAAGGTGTTCATTCTAAGAGGAGTACGAGTGTGAATTTGGGTGTGCTTCCACTCAAAGCATGATTGTGCACCAAACAAGTGTGACCATGCATGACTTCAAATTTCATAATTATTTCATTTTATTTCTTGAGTGCATAGATTTCATCTTTTTAAATATTTTTTTCCCATTTATTGAATACTTAACAAAAAAAAATGAAATTTTGTTAAAGACGTAACATTAAAAAAGGATAAAACAATCATGAGTAACATGTTATTATGTAATATTTTAAGGATTTAACACTGCGCAATCATGACCCACCACCATTTCCTCTTCTAATTTCCATCTTGATCTCTAGTCCCCACCCACATTAGCCATCATCATTTTCTATTGTAAAAAACTTCTTAGAGAAGTGTTGAATATGATCCATGACACCACAAAGGAAACAAGAAAAAAACTCCTAACCTTTTATATTTGAATTTCACCATTCACCATTCTCCTTGTAGCTTCTTCACTTTTTTCTTGTTTCCAGAGATAGACGTTACATTTACTAGTTCTTTGATATAGATAAAACGACCTCCACCTTTGGTGTTGTTCTTTTCATTGCACAAGTGAACCAATGAAATTCCCTAGATGTCACCTAATAATTGGTGCAATGGATCAAACAAGAATGTTATTTGCACCCAAAAACAAACATTAAAGAGAAGTTTTAGCAATATTCTCTAACACACTTTTCTTATTGGTTAAAATTCATTGAAAAACATAAAACGAGGAGAGAGAGGAAGGGGGGAGTATTTAAATATGGTGAGATTTACCAACTGTTATGTTTTTCAATAAATTTCAATCAATTAAAAAAAAATATGTTTAAAAGAATGTTTAAAATTAGTAATCTCAAGCTCAAGTATTCTATAAAATAAAATACATTTGATTTCTACTAATAAAAAAGAAACATGTATTTTTAGTCCTAACAAAAAACTAAAACCACATCATTTTTAGTAAATATAGAAACTAACAATATATTAAATTTTTATAAAATTAAAATCAATATTTCAAAATACTTTCAAAAAAAAAATATTTCACCCTATCTTATGTTTTAACTTTTTATTTTCACATTTTAATTACAAAACAATTACTTTATTTTAAATTTGATTCTTATTTGAAAAGATCTGTGCAAGAATATTTTTATAAAATTTTAAAAATAAAAAATGTTATAATTAAAAAACAAAAAACAAAAACACAAGTAAACATGTGTTTAATTTTGAGTAAACATCCATTTTAATTCTTATATTTAAAAGAAGTTGTATCGGTTTCTAGAACTAAAAAATTGTAAAATGAACTCTTAGAATGTCATATAAGTCCTTAGATTTATTTAGTTATTGTTATTTTAATTCTTAAATATATATTAATACTTTAGTCACATGTCTTTTTTTGGACCAATATAATTGTAAATGAACAATGCTACACGTACAACAAAAAATATGCAATAATTTCTATACTATCATTTTTTTTTTATCTTTCTTCATCATTAAAAATATATATCTTCATAATAAATGAGGTGATGAAAAAGATAGACATAAAAAATGATATTATACAAATTATACAATTTTTATTATATGAGTAGCATTACTCATTATGAATTTGTACTTCTTAAAATATATTTAATAATATCTTAGTTTTGCAAACTAATCAATTCTTATATATTAATCAGTTCTTATATATTAATTTTTATTTATAAATTAAATTTTAATATTTTTAAAATAAATTATTAATTACTAAAAAATAATCTTGTTCTATAATATAAATATTTTAAATCTAGAATATAATTTAAATATTTTAATTTTTTAAATATAATTCATATATTTTATTTATTTGTACATACAAAATTTATTATAGATTTTAGTTATATAATAAACATTTAATATATATAATATAGATTAAAATACTAGTATAAGAGTATGAATAAATTTAAAAATTAATATGAATGTTTCTTTTTTAAGTTTAATAAAAAAATATATTTCTTTTCCATTAAATGACTTGTATATAGATAAAGTAATATTTTTAATTATAATTTAATAACTAAAATAGATGTTTATTTTTCAATCTTAAGAAAAATTACAATATTTTGAAGAAGGATTTTTCAAATAAAATCCTTAGTTCAAGCGATAATTTTACTTTCTTTTTTTTTCCTTAATTAAACACCTATTCTTAACTTAACATAGAGTTGGAATTAGAAATACTCCTTATTCGTGTGTGAAATCCCAATTGTAACCTTACCCCCTTGAAAGTCCCATTGCACAGTCCCACACCGAAATGGAACATGTAATATTTTGGTAGTCCAAGGGCATAAAGACAACCTCAAAATTACCGAAAGCGACAGGACACGCTGCAATCTTTTAAATTCCCAATGCCGAGAGACCGAGAGACTCTTGTCAGCTCCAAACATATCTCAACGCTGTCCCTTTTCGTCATATCACCCACTTTCTCTCTCCTTCCCCTACTCTCTCTCTTACAGCTATGGTATTTCTGTCTCTGCTAATGTGAAAGAGACGTTAATAAAAATAATATAAAGAAAAATAAACACACAACACCATCACCCATAAACCCAAGAGTCACACAACTACGGGTTTTTCTAAGCCCCCAGAAGAAAAAAGGAACCAAAATAGAATAGAGCCTCACAAGAAGAAACAAGGAATCACAGAATAACACAACACTATAACAAGAACAAGTCTTTGAGGAGATTGGACCAGAGGGTCTTGTGGGCCTTTTTTCAATTTTTTATTTTCTTCTCTATTTTCCGTTCATTCAGTTTCTTGTTCAGGTTAGCAGAGGAAGCTTCATAAGAAACTCCATTAAAGCATTAATTAGCCTTTTTTTTCTTTTTTTTCTTATTGGCTGTTCTCATTTATTCGCTATTGGCTGTTTCCGTTTCCTCTCTTTATATTCATGAGGTGACAGGAACGCACACAGAAAACATAAACTTTTGGTGCTACCCATTTGAAGGTAAATAAAAAGACGGTGTTTTTATTATCTTTTTGACGCGTTTTCGTTACAGACACGTTTTGATGGCCTTTTTGTTGACTTTATATTAGCTTGGTTGTGAGTTTTCATTGTTTGCCTTTCGGGTGTTTTGTTTGTTTTTTTGGTGTTTTGGAGAAGAAAAAAACTGTTTTTGTTACTTTTGATGGTTTTTCTTTACTGTGGGTGTTTGGTTTTGCAGGTGTTTTCAAGTTTGCTTTTGGAGAAACCGTATATGTTAGCATATATTTGAGTTGTTCTGTTCTGACTCTGTTTTCGTGAGATTTACGTTTTACTATGAGGAGAAGCTAGCACACACCGATTCTCTCGTAATTTCTCGGAAAATTTTACTAGGTACAGTGAAATCTCTTTTGGCATGTCAAATCAATGGTTAAGCCATGAATGTTTGGTTTTGTGATTTTTTTTTCTTAATTTTGGTGATTACTCTAATCTCTCTGGGTTTTGACTTGATTAGTGTTTAGCCATTAGTGGGAAACATAAAAGTTATGATTTTGATTGCCAGAAGCAAAAAGATGTGTTATGTTTTGGCACTTTTGTTTGATGTTAATGTTTGTTGATAGCATGGTTAATGCAAGGTTTCTGGCAACGATAACGAATTTTGTTTGTTGTGGACTGATGGAGGGGTTGATTTTTTTTTTTTTTTTTTTGGGTGAAATAAGGAACTGGGTTAATGTATTTGAGGCCCCATGGTCTAGTGTTGTGCTTTCTTAAGGTAACATGTCCTGTGTCTGGTGGATTTTGAAAGCTCCAAAGAATCTAATCTTGCATTGTTTTGACTTTTTTAATAGAGGTCATGTGAATGTCTGTCTAGTGGATGTTGAAATGACAGTGGTGGGGGTGAGAGTCAATGGAAGTGAAAAAATTGTTGCTTGGTTTTGTATAGTGTTTTACTATTCAGGTACACAATTTTAATCTTAGTCACGGGGAAGATCAAATGTAGGGAAGATGAGCAAGTCTTGAAGTACAGTCATAAGTGTCTGTAGTTTCATTTAATTAATTGCTTTTGTTTGTTCATTGAATATGATATTTATGAAGCTCAACGGGTGGATTTTTAATTGCATTTGGAAGGTAAAAGGGTGTCCTTCTAGGCCTAGTGAGGGGTAGAGATAGGTATCTCTTTTACCATGTAGTGATAGGATGATGCCTAATGGGGTTGATACGTTTTCCTCATTGTCATCATAGTGAATTTAAAAGTTCCATGTCAGATATTCATTTTGATATGGGCCCTATATTGCAGACTCGTGGGCAACTACTGAGTTACTGCTAGGCCTGATCCTGTACATGTTGAATATGAGAGGAACAGAGGGAATCCAAGGGGTTATGAATCAGAAGAAAGTATTTTTTTAATCAAAAGAAACAGAACTAATTCTCAGGTTTTTTTAATGGTTACCCAAAATTTTCACAATTAAAATATTATTTAGCATCATGTAATGATTGTCCAACAAAGGTAGGTCACTTGAATTTATTTATGGATTTAACTATTCATTTGGGGTTATGAATTTATTGTCGACTGAATTTGCCATTGTAAAACATGGAAAGTGAATAAGTTTAGTGTTGTTGATCACGATTGTAATCATTATTACTTTTATAATCAATCAGTACTAAAGATACTCAAACCATTAATCTGACCACTTTATAAAGAAGTTCTGATTAATTTGACTGATGGGCCAATTCCTTTATGCTCTTTGAAACGAAATTTAAGGCTAGATAAACTTGTAAAATCACAATAAAATATGTAGAAGTAAAGATGTTGTATTTTGCAGTGAGTTGGTGTTAAAATTGAGCACGAGGCTTTGCTTTTTCTAGTATGGGACTTTTTCTTTTTTAAGAATATATAGTAGACATTTTTAAGTTGGTTCAATTACTGAATTATCTTTTCTGCTTTTGCTTTCTATACAAAACCATGGTTTTCACATGTCTTTATATTGCTAATTGCCACCTTGGACAAGAGGCCTAGTATTACTTGGATATTCTATATTCTATGACTTAATGAGTTTTAATGCATCTTTTGATCACGTCCTTCATTCTTTATTCTTTCTTTAGGGGGTCCCTGTCTTCTAAATATGCTTGGTTAGCTTAGAAATGACTTTTTGCCGTTTATGAAAGTTGTCAAAACATGAAACTTTTATAGATGAAGAACAAAAAGAAAAATTCTAGCCTACATTAAAGGCCTCGATCTAAGCATTAAAGCAAATTACTTTTTTTCTTTTTCTAAACATACTCATCATGATCACCATTGTTATGACCTTATTGCCCTTGTTTCTCCTTTTAAACACTTGATTATTATTTTCATCTTCATTTGCAACATTGTAATGTTTCTGCAGATGGAATCTGTTAAGCCATCAGCAGCAGTGACACCAAGCAAGAGCAAACTGGCGCGCACTTTTGCCAAAGTTCTTCACGCTAGAGCTGTGTCTGGAATTGCACCAGTTGATGGCCTGAAGAATGTTGAAGTTGATGCAGATCTCAACAGTGAAGCAAATATGTGTAAGAGTACAATAAACAAAGAAGATGAAGAAGAGCTTCAGAAAACAAAGGCCACAGAAGCATTTCTTGCAAAAGTTTTTGCTAGCATTTCAACTGTTAAAGCTTCATATGCTCAGCTACAGAATGCTCAATCTCCTTATGACCCTGATGGAATTCAAGCCTCTGATCAATTGATAGTCTCGGAGTTTAAGACCTTGTCTGAGATAAAGCAATGCTACTTTAAAAACCAATTTGATCCTTCACCAGATAGAGCAATTCTTGAAGCTAAACTGAAGGAACTGGAGAGTGTTAACAGAACCTTTGAGATCACGACGAAGAAGCTAGAATCGCAGGCACGGCTCAAGGAATCCGAGATTATATTTCTCCGTGAAAAGCTAGAGGAAGCTAACATACACAACAGGTCAATTGAGAAGAGGTTATCTCAAAGTGGTTCATTATCAGTTCTTGATAATCTCCATATGTCAGGACTAAGTCCTAGCCATTTTGTCACTGTCCTTCGGCACGCAGTTAGGTCCATTCGAACCTTTGTGAAGTTGTTAGTGAAAGAAATGAGATCTTCTGGTTGGGATATTGATGCTTCAATCAATGCCATCATTGAGCAGAATGTGGTTTACTTGAAAGAAGATCACAAGTGTTTTGCAATTGAGTCCTTTGTTTGTAGGGAGATGTTTGATTCATTCAACACCCCTAATTTCTCTCTACCAAATGAGTCTCTACCAGATAGCAACAAGAGGCAGGTGTTCTTTGGGAGGTTCAATGAGCTGAAACACATTAAAGCAAAGGAGTTTCTTGCATTGAAGCCAAGGTCACCCTTTGCGAAATTCTGCAGGATCAAGTACTCGAGGCTTGTTCACCCCAAGATGGAGGCATCATTTTTTGGTGACCTGAATCAGAGAACCCTGTTGAATGCTGGAGAGTTTCCTGACACAAACTTCTTCACCTCATTTGCTGAGATGGCCAAGAGGGTGTGGCTCCTACACTGCCTAGCCTTTTCTTTTGAGCCTCAAGCTTCAATCTTTCAAGTGGGGAAGGGGTGTAGATTCTCTGATGTGTACATGGAGAGTGTGAATGAGAATGATGAAGAAGTGGCAGTGGAGTCTGAGGCACAAGTTGGTTTCACTGTGGTTCCGGGGTTTAGGATTGGTAAAACTGTTGTACAGTGCCAAGTTTACCTCTCAGAGTCACAGCACCAAGGTAAGGTAAAAAGTCTTACATCCACAAAGCAAAGGTAACAAGTGGTGTTTTGAACAGTTTGTGACCCCACCATGCAATAGGTTGATGAAGTGGAAGACAATGTTTTGAGTTGAACTTTTGGGAGGGACATGGCTTGTGCAGTGCATGGCTGAGCTTGTGGGGACTCTCACCTCTGCCATGGCTCAATGGGGCATTTTTATTGTCCATTTGTGTTTTGGCCATTTTGAAAAGGAAACGCGTGAACCGTTGCATTGGGAAGTGCCCTTTTGTTTCAGAATGGTTTTTTTTTTTTTTTTTTTTTTTTTTTTTTTTTTTTTTTTTTTTTTAATTTTATTTATTATGCAGTTTAATTAATCAAATGCTTGCCCCAAAATTTTGTTGATATTAGGCCGGTGGCAGGAATGGTCTAGCTGGAAAATGCATCTTTACCAGACATTACATATGTTATGTACATAATAATGTTGCTGGTAATTTCATTATTTTCTTTTTAAAAAGAAAAAAATTATTTGTTCTACTCGATCCATCATTCATTTTCATTCTGGCTAAATTATATGTCTTGTGTATTTCAGAAAATGATTTTTCTGTATAAATGAAAATGAGTTTCAGAAAGATGATAACTAGTTTTTTCTTTGTCTGACAACTTTTTTGTTAGAGATTAAATTAATAAGATATTTATTTTTTTGGGCACATGTTTTTTTTTTTACATAAAAAATAATTGCGTTGAAGCTCTTTTGTAAAATTTTAAAATACTCGGTTTCTTGTAACAAATTAATTAATAGATTATGAATGTAAGTTCACTTTAGGATCGGTATAGTGGTAAAATTTTTGATATTTTAAATGAGGTTTCAGTTTTAAATATTGTTATTTAAATAAAAGACTATAATTGTAGATGGTGAATTTTCTTCAAAATCTTTCTTCGGTTTACAAAATTTTAAAATTTAATAGAGATTTTGTAAATAGTTGTTAGAGGCGCTGCTGTCAATCATAAATAAAGAAAAGTTGTTTTTTTGAAAAATTTCTTCATATCAAAAATAGAATAAAATATAATTATTCAACAAAAAATTAAAAATATAACTATATTTGTTCTTAAAAAGCTTTTTTTTTTTTTTTTTTTTGTAGTATAATAATTTAAGGATCTTGAGTACACATGTATAATTGACACTCTTATATATACCAAAAATAGGGGATGAATATTAAGGGAGTATAACTTGGTTAAACTTGTTATGTAAGTTGTTATAGATTTTTGGTATTAAGTTCAATTCTATTAGATAAAAGAAAAAAAAAATTGGGGGGGGGGGGGGGGGGGTGTGGATTAGGTTAGTTGGTTAATGATGCATACATTCTGATATTTGTTGTATGTGTGTTTAGATGAACATTGATATAATTAATATTATATTAGAAATATATATTTATAATATTTTATTTTTGAAATAAAATTTGTAACCCTTACAAAATATGAAAATTAGATTAAATAAATAATAAAAACATTAAATTAACATAAACATAAAACACAAAGATATTTAAATTAAAAAATACAAACAAGTGTGAGGTTAAATGATAGGAAACAACTAGCTACTCAATTACTACTTCTATATTTTTACTATTAAAGAAAATTATAGAGAAAATTAACATATATTTTCTTTCATATTTTCAAAGGTTAAGGGAATACATTATTTACAACCCAATAAATATAAAGATAACCCTACAAATGTTATCATCTACCATTATTGTATAATATTTTAATATTCATCATCCTAATCAACTTGATATAATTTCTTTCTTTTGAACCTTGTAAGATCCATCTATCACTAAATGAGAGAAATATAAAGATAAAAGTGTAAAATTAATTTTGGATGAAGTAAAAGCAACTCCATATTACTTCAACCAACCATGATTTTTCTTAATTAAAATTGATTTTATTTCAATAATTAAACATTCTAATTTAGAGTCAAATCATGTTTGACTTAACTCATCATGATCTACAATAATTTTACCATCAAACCAAACATACACATAATTGTCGTGTCTATATAGGAGTAATGAATAGTTAATAATTGTTATAATTGTTGTCTTGATATAGTAATTAATAAATTATTAAATAAATTTTTAGAATAATCCATTATATTGCTATTTTAAGAAAAACTTTAATTCATAATAGTTGTAATTGTAACAAGATTTATTATGTAATAATACCACATAAGTATTAACAAGTTTTATTAATGGTTAATTTCATTTAACCAATAAAAACCAATGTGATTTTTTTTAGAAGAACAAATGTAAATGTTATGAATATGTGAGCTATTATGATTGATCAAGTACTATCTCAAATGTACAATATAAATCTTTTATGAAAAGAGTGATATTTTCAAATTAAGTTAAAAAATATTATAAATTGAACAAGTCTTCAATATTTTTTTTTTGTTTTAATTGTCACATGTTTAGCCGTGGGCCCCGGATGCCTATACATCTTACTAAAAAAGCATTTGAAAGAAAAATAGAAGAGGCATCATTCCCTCGTTAAGTATTCAAAATATTTTTTTTTTCATAACACACGGGGCATTAATTTTTTTATTTATTTATAAAATTCTAATTGTTTTAACAAAATTCTCTTTTTAATTATTTAATATAATTATATATTTGGCCCTTAACTTTAAAATTATTAACTAAGTTAAAATAATTCATGTCAATTGATTTATGCACTCGGATCCACTTGAAATAAATATTGTTTGTAAAACATAAAAAATTAGATAGAAAATGACATTTTATTATGTAATTTTAGAATGCTTCTAGCATGAAGTATTAAAGTAAGTATCTCATGGATAAGGCACTAAAATAATATGGAATAAGAGGTTTTTAACAAAAAAAAATATAAGAAATCACAAAAATATTTGAGGGATCATGATAATACTATGCATGCAATTTGGTTACAATGACAACGTTGTGTGTGCAGCCCAATAATGATGTTGCACGTAAGATTGAGATGAGACGCTACATGTATAGTCACGATGACAGCACTCTTTGTGCAGTCATGGTGACGTTGTACTTGTGGCCATAATAACAACACTATTTGTACGATAACAGTGATTGATATTGTGCGTATGATCACGGTAACGAACGAGAATTAAAAAAATATTATTTTACCAATTATTTAATTTATCTTTTTTCAATCTTATACATTAGCTTTTTTTATTAATATATCAAATGATTAAAATTAATAATTCATAGATGTATTACTAGATATTTCACCTTAGAATTTATGGTAATTTTATTGTTTGTAAAATGTGTATAAAAGATAGTGAAATGCGAATGTTGCACTTGTAAGACTTAAATTTATTAGAATGGTTTTATATATGGATAGGATATGTATCTGGCTTCTGATTCTCTGAATGAATGAAAGCTAATTGGGTCCCACTTGAAAGCAGCTTTATTCATCGAGGTCGGTGATAAAGGAGCACGTAAAGACAAAAATTTTAAACCTTAATATTATACTTTTATTCTCTCTACTTTTTCTTTAGTTTACATCTGATCTTAGATTTTTTTAATTTTATTCACGCACGTTTAGTTTTTTCTATTTTTAATTATTTAAACTAAATACCCTTTTACTTTTTATCTAATCAATTATAATGTATCTTTGATTGGTATAGAATTACAAAAATAAATTATATCAAATATTTAAATAGAATTAAAAGAAAATATTTTCTGTTATATTTTATACATTTAGTTTTTATTTTATTTAAATACATTATAAATTATTTTTATTAATTTATACTAATAAATAATATGTTATATTTCTACTACATTTCTGTTAATTATTAAATATAAAATTATAATAAAAAAACATAATTTATTTAAAAATTATAAAAATTAAATGTAAATAACAAACAAAAGTTAAAGAAATTAAAGTACACATAAATATATAAAGAGAATCATAAAGTATCAATAAAGTCTAGCTCAATGGTTGAATATAGTAGATGAGTTATAGTAAACTTTTTAATATTAAGTTTGATTTTTTCATGAATAAAAAAATATTAACAAATTATTAATTTGAAAGGAACTAAATTAACCTGATTTTCTTATACAATATCTCGTATTTGAATCTTATATATGAAAAAAAAAACGAAATTGAAAAGACAGATCCCAATATGCATGAGTTGTTATAAACTCTTGTGATATCAAAAGTTTCATTTTTATAGATAAAAAAAAGTACTAACAACTATTAATTAAAGGGATGCGAAATATATTCTCTTTATATAATATCTTATGTTGGAATCTTATAAATAAACAAAATAAAAGAATTTTTAAAAACACTTAATCAAGTTTTCATCGAAAATTAATCATCAATAAAATTTAAAAATACTTGACAAGAAGATAATTTTAGAAAAGGACACTAAAAATTAATTATCATATAATAATATAATACATGTCATTAAAAATTATTTTTACTTACACAATAAAAATAATATATGTTGATATACTGTTAAAAGTGTGTATATAGACTAGAGTAACATATAAAATATATTGTTAAATCTCATTTAAAATTAATATTAAAATTGTGACATTCTAGATGTCACTCATAGCCGGATCTTCCTCACCTAAAACATCCACAAGTTATACGGTGAGAAAAGAAAACATCTATATGTAAAGCACATACAAACACACCACAACATAATCTCTTCATAACTCATTACATAATGAAATATTTACAAACATATATATATATATATATAATTTATCAATCATTCATCGTCTTCACATTTCAATTCACAATTATATCAATCCATCACAATTCACACAAATCTTACAATTAACATTATGTCAAGGCCACGCCACAACTGACATAAGTGATACGGGTTAATTGCCTCACTCATCCCACACCATGCTAGGGTCACGCCCTCCCTGTAGCATCACTTACCCAGGGGGTTATTATTGTATTGATTGATAAGAATTGATGATCTAGATGTGAATTGCTTGAGGGGTGTGTAAACCCTTATTTTGTTGGACTTATCTGTTGTGTATGTGATATGGAATTGTGTATGTGATATGGAATTGAGCTATAAGATGAGATGTGATGAATGTGAATATGATTATGATTGTGGTTCCTCACACTAATGACTAGGGATGGCACGGTCCCTGGGTAAGTGATGCTACAGGGAAGGCGTGACCCTGGCATTGTGTGAGATGAGTAAGGCAATTAACACGTATCACTTATGTCAAATATGGCAGCCCTGGCATAGGGTTAATTGCAAGAGATTGTGTGGATTGTGATGTGATTTTGGTTCCTCACATCAATGACTAGGGATGGCACGGCCCCTGGGTAAGTGATGCTACAGTGACCCTAGCATGGTGTGGGATGAGTGAGGCAATTAACCCGTATCACTTATGTCAGTTGTGGCGTGGCCTTGACATAATGTTAATTGTAAGATTTGTGTGAATTGTGATGGATTGATATAATTGTGAATTGAAATGTGAAGACGATGAATGATTGATAAATTATATATATATATATATATGTTT